TTTCAGGTCACAGTATAATGACATGATGAACATTAATCAATTCAGTTCTCAGTGTACACTATGAAAAGATTGTGATCAGCATCAAGCAAAATCCAATAAAATCATATATTTAGTTACAAAAAGTAAGATACAAAAAAAATTTTTTAGAGAAGTAAAGAAATAGACAAATGAAATGACAAACTCTTGAACTCTGAGTAAACTCACTGTCAGGGTGAAGTGCTCATCTCTCTGCAGGCACTCTGTGCGTCTGATTAAAGTGGATTACAGCTTCAGGAGGATAGACATGCAGCACGACAAACAGCAGGAAAATCCTGTCAATTAACTTTATGCAAATCACAGAGCTTTTAAAAGTAAACGCTGAAAATCCAGGAGCGTGACGTCAATGCGATCAGATTAAAACAATGTTTGAGGATTCTCTTCTTCGTACCACCACTGTACATTGACTCAAACAGGCATGTGGTGTTTCCATAAACACAGAAAAGCACTGAGAACATGCCTGCTAGTTCTCTACACGTCTCAAGCTGTAATAAGCCTGGACATCTGTGGAACGCCCCGATACAATTCATTTAGCACAAACTAAACGATGCGCTTTCAAATTAACATGGCTGTATTAGTGCCAATAAACATCACTTTACGCCTAAATCAAGTGATTCGGTTTGGAACACTCTCTATAGTCAAATATGCTTCAATTATAAAGTTATACTGCAGGGCTGTTGAATGTTTGATTGTGATTGGCTGATGGCCATAGCAAGCTATATTTTAGGGCTGTTGAATGCTTGATTCTGATTGGCCGATATCCATTACAAGTTATACTGCAGGGCTGTTAAAAACTTAATTCTGATTTGTCGATGAACATTTTAAGTTACACTAAGGGCTGTTGAATGCTTCATTTTGATTGGTCAATGAACATTCTAAGTTATTCTGTGGTGCTGTTGAATGCTCAATTCTGATTTGGTGATGAATATTCTAAATTGTAATGTGGGTTTGTTGAATGCTTCACTTTGATTGGCTGGTGAAAATTTTAAGCAACTACAGTGCTGCTGAATTTTTGATTCTGATTGGCAGATGAACATTCTAATTTACACCATTGGACTGTTGAATGCTTAATTCTGATTGGCCAGTGAATATTCTAAAATAGAATTTGGTGATGCTGAATACTTGACTCTGATTGGGTGACAAACATTCTAAGTGATAATGCAGATTGCTGAATGCTTTGTTTTGATTGGCTGATATGTTCGAACCTTCGAAAGTTATATTATGGTGCTATTGAGTATTTGATTCTGATTGGCCAATGAACATTCAAAGTTACACTACAGAGCTGTTGAATGCTTGATTCAGATTGGGCAATGAACATTTAAAGTAAATATTTGGTTATGTTGAATGCTTGATTCTGATTTGTTCATGAAAATTCTAAATTGTAATGTAGGTTTGTTAAATGCTTCATTTTGATTGGCCGGTGAACATCTTAAGTTACACTATGGGGCTGTTGAATGTTTATTTCTGATTGGCCAGTACATATTCCAAGATAGAATTTGGTGATGTTGATTCTGATTGGGTGACAAACATACTCAATTCTAATGCAGGTTGCTGAATGCTTTCTTTTGATTGGCTGATACATCCGAACATTCGAAAGTTACATTATGGTGCTGTTGAGTATTTCATTCTGATTGGCCAATGAACATTTAAAGTTACACTATAGAGCTGTTGAATGCTTGATTCTGATTGATCAATGAACATTCCAAGTTATTCTGTGGTGATGTTAAATGCTGGATTCTGACTTGCTAATAAACATTCTAAATTGTAATGCGGGTTTGCTGAATCCTTCATTTTGATCGGCTGATGAGCATCCAAAGTGACTATAGTGCTGTTGAAAATTTGATTGTGATTGGCAGATGAACATTTTAAGTAACACTATGGGGATGTTGAATGCTTAATTCTGATTGAGTGATAAATCTTAATTGGCTTAAAAACATTTTAAATTATAATGCAGGTTTGTTGAATGCTTTCTTTTGATTGGCTGATGAGCATTCAAAAATTACATTATATTACCGTGAATAACAAATTCTGATGGCCGATGTGCAGTCCAGGTTAAAATATGGGGTTGTGGAATGCTTGATTCTGATCAAACATTGATCAAACATTGAATCTTCTAACTTACAATTCTGAGATGGCAAATGCTTGATTCTGATTGGGTGGAAAACATTGAACTCAGTGATCATCTTTGAAACGCCTCTCGGGCAGTATGCTCGGGCATTTTGTCTAAATACACATCAAATTCTCCAAAACTGTTTGCCAAGCTTACAGTTACATTGCATATTTGTAACCACCAATAAATTAAAACAACAACTCGCTCATAAGTTTAGTTTCTAAATGTCCGAACCAAACAAAATCTGCATATTTTCAGGTTGCCCAAGCTAATGGGCATGTGCATTTGGTTAAATGAATGATTTCTATTGGCTGATGAACATTTTGAATTATAATACAGGGCTGTCGAATGTTTATTTCTCATTGCCCTAAATAAAAATTAAACATTCATTTACACCAATTGTGTAGAAATTACACAATTCACCTTTAACATACAAAGTAAACAGAAAAGAAACACCTAAACCTCAATGGACATTGATTAAGTGGCATTTACCAGTAGAGTAAGTAATAAACATAGGTGAAGAAATCATCTAGCTTAAGATGAACAGAGGAATGAATTGCGCTCCTGCTCTCTGATTTAACCAAAATGCAGTTCTCTGTGATCAGCTAATCTACAGACAGGTGGTCTCAGTGTAATTAAGCTGAAGGGCCCTCATTTAATTGCTTCTTGAGTGAGTATGCTGGGAATCTGACCCCACATTCCTGAGGTCTTGTCTACTATATGCACGCACACACACGTAAACATGGGTCTCCGAGTCCTATTGGAGTCATGATGTATGGTCTTGTTGTGTGGCAGCTCTTGTGTCCTCTGATGATGCTTCTGTGTAATTAAACTTGAAAACTAATGACTGAGGGGGTTGGATCGTTTTCACCTGCTCCAAAAGCCTCATTGATTTAATGATCGTTAATCTTGAAAAACATTTATAGACTAATTAGAGGATAATGCAATAAGCCGGGTGTAAACTGACGAAAGGTAAACTTCTAGATATACAGTTTAGGTCATGGTTTGGCATGAAAAACATACATACATATATTTATATATTTAAAACTCACTGGCCACTTTATTAGGTACACCTTTCCATCTGCTCGTTAACGCAGATTTTTAATCAGCCAATCACATGCTAGCAATGCAATGCATTTAGGCATGGTCAAGATGATCTGCTGCAGTTCAAACTGAGCATTAGAATGAGGAACAAAGGTGATTTAAGTGGCTTTGAACATGGCATGGTTGTTAGCGCCAGATGGGATGGCCTGATTATTTCAGAAACTGCTCATTTACTGGGATTTTGACGCACAACAGTGTACAGAGAATGCTCCAAAAAAAGAGAAAATATCCAGTGAGCGGGAGTTCTGTGGGCACAAATGCCTTGTTGATGCCAGAGTTCAGAGGAGAATGGCCAGACTGGTTCCAGCTGATAGAAAGGCAACAGTAACTCAAACAATTCCTCGTTACAACCAAGGTAACCAAGAGCATCTTTGAACATACAATACGTTCAACCTTGAGGCAGATGGGCTACAGCAGCAGAAGACCACACCAAGTGCCACTTTGGTCAGCTAAGAACAGAAAACTGAGGGTACAATTCACACAGGTTCACCGAAACTAGACGAAAGAAGATTGGAAAAATGTTGCCTGGTCTGATGAGTCTCGATTTCTGCTGCAAAATTCAGATGGTACTTAATGTGTATAAAGCGCATATGTTATAAATGAGACTGGTTTCATGAACATAACAATGAGTTTACTGTACATTGTACATTGTGTGTAATAATTTTGTTTTAATTTTAAAAAGTAATAATAATAATTAAAATATAATTTTACTGTTCATTTCAAGTTTCTTAGTTTAGTATTTTGTAATATTTTGCACACTTTTTCACAGTTTTACTATCATTTATATTTTTCAGTTTTAATTTGAACAGCTTTAACGCAAAAGTTTAATCTTAAGGTTTATATTCAGTTGGTATGAATTTTATTTACACAAATTATACAGACTTTGTAACTTTTTATGCAAATAAGTAATAGTGGCAATAACAATAATACAATAGTTTGTGGAATTGATCATGTTTGTATGTTTTTATGATTGTAATGTCCTCATTTGTTGTTTTATAACTCCTGTGAAATGAAGATAAATAAGTGTGATACTAATATATTTGTGTAATAACAATAACACTATATTTCTATTGTAGCTACAGTATATGATGGTGCAATTAAAAGAAAAAGTTCTATATAGACTGGTCAACCTGACTAATTAGCCAACTAGTCAAGCATTGAGAAATACCAGAAAAACATCCCTACTTAACGAACCATACGGGATATGTAGTCACTGGAGTGGAAAAGCAAGAAGAGATGTGCTAAATAAAGAAAATTGCCCGAGGACAGATCACACATTGAACATAGACTTGATGTGTTTTCCTAACTGGCAGAAGCACCACTATTGGCTCAAGCGTAAACACTTTATTAGGACGTGAGGGGGCAGCCTGTGCCATCCTGGTAAACTAAAAACCTTTGTGTATGTGTGCATGTGTGTGCTGACTTTGGACAGTAACAGGCATTCTCTAAGGCTTTAGTTCACTTTCCTGCCGGCTCCAAGCCTTATATAAAATGTGTGTGTGGAGTAAATGGTGAGGTAAGGGCTGGTCTCAAAAGCACGGCGTAGCGCCAGCACCGCACTCAATGTGAGATGTACACACAAATGGAGCCAGTTAACGGGAAGACTGAATTATGTAGGAGACTATGTGCATTGACCAGAAAATCAGAGTTTCCCGAAGTGTCGCATCATGAAACAAAATTCGATATACACAGAAGCAGTGAGTACTAGCAGCTATACACCATGAGATCATGGTTTAGTGCACATGTTTACCGTTTCTCTTCTCCCTCTGATTGATTTGGGTCCTGCTCCTTGGGCATGTGTTCCATTCACCTTATTTCCATCCAGCAGCCAATCATGTGAGACTGAGGCGGGCCCCACCCTCGAATGCACGCCTGTCATTCGCGGGTTGTGATGAGTCAGACAGTCATGGGACGGCTCTGTGGAGCGACGCTCACAAACCAGGCCCGCCTCACTCTCAAACACAGATGGCCAGTGACGCAATATGGGATGAGCTCTGCAGAAATACAAAAAGAGAGAATCAAAGTTAGCATGTATGCAAATCAAATGTTTTTAACGACCCAGGTTAAAATAACGATTGGGAATGTTTCGTAAAGAAAACACAAACATTTTTTCTATTGAACACACAATACTTATAGGTGGAATGTAAAACTTTTGGTAAACTCACTAAGTTTCTCAAAGAATAAAAAACTTCTGAAAGCAAATGGAAGCTTTTTATCATTAATTATCAAAACGGTTAGACCATGCATGCTGAGTGACAAATAAAGCCCTTTTTCCATTATGAAAGCGTTTATTCCTTTAAAATAACACATTTGATTTGTTTTTATTAAACGTGTTGTCCTGTGTTGTTTTAACAAAGGCCATAACAATCAGCATTTTATTTATTTATTTGTTAGCATATTTTGAAATTTTTTTATGAATAAAAAAAAAACATTTTTAATTTAAAAAATGAAATGATTTAGAAATCGAACGCTCTTTTTAGCCCAACGCAATTTAATAGAGCACGATAAAGAGTAAAGAACTTAATTTTCATATTTCTTTAATATTTGCAACCTGGGTCTATGCTTCTCAACAAGTATTGTACACATCTTTTCTAAATCATACAGTGTAGTGTAAAAGCATGTTTATTACCAAGGAAACCAAAACAGTCAAACAAAAATAATATTTTATTTGAACACATCACATCACATACACGAGCCTCAGCTGGGTCAGTTGGCATTTCTGTGTCGAAATTGCATGTTCTCCACATGCTCGTGTGGTGCTCCGGTTTCCCCCGCTAATACAAAGGCGTGATACAGGTGAATTGGGTAAGCCAAATTGTCCGTAGTGTATGTGAGTGAATTAGAGTGTATGTGTGTTTCCCAGGGACGGGTTGAAACTGGAAGAGCATACGCTGCATAAAGCATATGCTGGATAAGTTGGTGGTTCATTACGCTGTGGAGACCCCAGATTAATAAAGGGACTAAGCGAAAAGAAAATGAACGAATTAATCAAGATCACTTACAGTACCTTTGAATATGTTACAAAAACAGTACTGTCAATGTATAGTGAAAGGCAAAAATTTGTGAAAATTTGGCAAAAAATTGTGTGTTGATGTTTTAGCTGACGAAGTCTATGGTTAAATCGAGACCCAGCAATCAAAAGCTGCAGGCACATTTACTAGCACCGTGGCGACGGCAGGCACGAGCAGAGGGAACGTACAAGTGTTGACATTTGTAGGTTTAATGTGATATTACAATGCATCATGATGATGGTGTACTGCATCCTCAAATGTAAAACTTACTTGACATGCAAACACAGTGCTTAATTTGTCCCGGAACAAATCGGGGAAACGGATCCGGCATGTTACATAAGGATGTAGAAGTTTCGTGGGTGGCGGGGCGTTGGAGGGCGGAGGAATGTCGCGGACGAAAGTGAAGGGCGGGGGTGATTGTTGCGGATGAAAGTGAAGAGGGTTGGGGAGTCGCTGAAGAAAGTGAAACCGAACAGCGGACAGTGGAGGAGAGCGGTTGAGGAGGGGATAGGTAAAATGAGGTGTCGGATCAGATTTCAGAGGTGTTTGGATCAGGCGTGTTCTGGCACAAATTAAGCCCTATTATTGCGTACACATAATGCGCAACCTTTAAATATTTTTGAAGCACACATCTTGCCTCCCTTGCCAAGCAAGTGTCTTTTTTTGCGTCCCTCACCATACTATGCTACTTGTCCACGCGTCTTGCCTCTCCTACCATAGTATGCTACTTAACACACACAATTTGCCCATCTAACCAAATGCTCCGCATGCACACGTCCTGCCTCCCTCACCATAGTATGCTACTTTCACAACTGTCTTTACCTCTCTCAACATAGTATGCAACTCGTGCATACTGTACTGTACACTGTACTCATGCAGGTTTTGTCTTTTTCACCGTGGTTTGCTACTTGCGCCATGTCTCACCTCCCTAGCATTAGATGCTTCTTACGCAATTTACCTACCACGCCATAGTATCATACTGTAGTATGCTACTTGCACACGTCTTCACTTTCTTGCCATGGTTTGCTTCAATGATAAATGGCATCATAAAACAGCCAGTAAATCACAAACGGTTATGGTCTGTTACTAAACCAATACCAAAACGTCCCTCCTCAGCATTCAATGCATCATATAAACAATTAAGTGTGACAACTCTAATATTTTCTGAAGTACTTTATATATATAAATATATATATATATATATATATATATATATATATATATATATATATATCACTGCATTTTAATTTCTATGGCATTTGAACTTTAATAAATAAGTAATAAATAATCTTAAATCAAAAGTTTTAAATAAATGTTGTAAATCATGCAAATTTTGGACAAAACAGAACTTAGCCAAAACAAAACAGAACAAAACTTAACCAAAACAAGACAAGACAAGACAAAACTTAACCAAAACCAGACAAAACCAATGAAACAAAATGCAAACCAAAACAAAGCAAAATCAACAAACATTAAACACCCCATTATTTGAAGCAAAGTTCAAATAAAATAAATAAAAATGATTTTAACTTAACTGAAAATAAATCTAAACAACACCATTATATTACTTCTGCTTTGCATTCTAGTATGATGTTGATTTTCTCTCTGTCTCCCTTCTCCTCTTATTTGTCTGTCCCATGGGAGATGCTTCCCATGAGCTCTTCAATGCCCAGCCGGTTCGCTGGAGAAAACAAGGCGGCTTTCCAGGAAACAGTTCAGATTATGCGAGCCATAATCCCATCTTTCCCTCCAGCACGTTCTCTCTGCAGAACCAGGAGGTCACGTGCAGTGCTGAGCTGCTCTTTCACTTCTCTGACAGCAACAATGTCTCAAAACCTGTGTAAATCACACGGCCTTGACTGCCTCGATAATCTGGATTAAGATGTGGGATACTGAGAAAATGATTTTCACCATTCAGCTGGTCACTAGATACTGACGAGCAGGATTATTTATATGTTCATCTCCCTCAACAAAAAAAATAAAAGGTCATTCCTGCAGTCGTTTAACTGTGCATTTACACATGCATGCAGATAAGACTGCTGAAATGCACATGTCTAAACTTATCCAATGAGATTAACCAAGGAAAGTCAACCTATACGAGCAAATTGAGGATTTGGCAACGTTACAAATTGGTACTTAAATTTAGCCTTGTTCTGTTGGTCACACTGGAATTAAAAGCAGAGGCACTGTCCTCTAAGCTACTCTAACTCCTGCAATTGTCTTTATTTTGACTAGAATTAGAGTTGTTGCTGTTGAAAATTGTTTGAGAAATCAAAACTGCATCAATTTGGAGTTTTTAAAAATGTATCGCTATTATCTTTAGAACTGGTTTTGAGCAGCAGATGCCGCTCTAGACTAGTTTTTAGTTATACACTCAAATGCTCAAGAGGATGAGCCCTTGTGCATTTGTTGAATCTTGTAAATTGCCTTTATGCCACACGATTAATGTAAGCAAAGCTCACTATGAACCCTTGGAATTCACAAATATCATTCTTAATTTAATTAATGATTTTTTTTTTAGCTTCAATTGGTATTTGTAAAGTATTGCTTGCAAGCAGAAAACACTGTTTGTAAAGAGTGAGTGAGACATATTTAAGACACCAGAGTACCCTATTTTACCAAATACAGGCTAAATTATAATCATACAATACAAAACAGGCTAAGTTCTTAAAGATGCATTTTGAAAGTTAGTATATATAAAAAAACAGACAGGATTTAGTATCAACCTCTGCCTAAAAAGATTAGTTTTGTCCTTTTGCTTTAGATAAATCACAGTGAGAGCTAAGTGATATGACATGATGCATAAACTTGCACACAGTCATCAGTTTATATGTGTTTGTTGCCTCTTTACAAAAAGGCATAGCACGTTTCACATTGTACTAGGGCTGGGCGATATTGCAAAAAAAATAAATTAATAAATTATCACAACGTGTTATATCATTCGGTATCAATTATTATAGAATATTTTTAATAACACATTTAGTCATAATTAGTAATTAGTAGTAATTAGTCTACTGTTATTACTGAAATGTATATATTTCATACAAAGTGTGAAGCAGACCGGTTAGTTCTACTTACATGAATCACAGTGCGTTTGCTGCATTCGGAAAAGTTAAGATGTTTTACAACTAGGTGTAACTAGAAAAATTTGCATGCAATATGTGTGAGCTGCTTGCACAACATGCGTGCGATGCTCCAATGTGCGCCTTTACTGGAAATGACAAAATTACAACCTAAGCTTACTGGCATTCCTTTCAAGTTACGTGCTCAGCAGCCATAATTTAATAAAACTACAGCACTTCATATCGAAACTTCAGACAGAACCTTATTTGTAAATCGTTATTGACTATGGTATTTGATCCATAAATACCGATACCAATTTAATTGCCCAGCCCCTACATTGTACATATTAAACTAAGAAAATTTTAAATTAAACAGAACTTATGCCTCTTTAAAGTGGCACTGAATAAATGCACAATCCATATACTGTATCTTACGTTTTGTATTCAGATGCAGTATGAACTGATGGCTGGCTGAGAACTTCTCCTTAAAACCAAAATTGTACACTGGATGCAAAGTGACATATTCTGTCGCATTATATCTTTTTACATTCTAAAGATTTTACAAAGGTTTCATTTGGGTTTCTAAAGGTTTCTAAAGCGTTTCTGAGACAGACTGAGTGAGTGAGTGAGTGAGTGAGTGAGTGAGTGAGTGAGTGAGTGAATGCACACTATCACCACCATGCGAGTCATGTCAGTCCACGTTGCTTAGCAATGCACAGAAAATAATGCAAAAATGCACAGCTTTAGTCTCCCTGTCTCTCCTGTTTTCAAAATAATTGTCTCATATACATATTATGTCCAATAGAACCTTATTTAAATTTTAAAAATAAGAAGAAAATTGATTATTTTTGTAATCTTAGAAGGAAATGTTGTGGCCAAAAAAAATTATATTAATGATCTCATGTGCAACGCAAATGTGTT